AACCACTGTCGACCGCTTAAAGCTATATACTCTTTCATTTTTTTTTTCTGTACAGCTACAACCTCGTCCTGTAGTATATCAGTTGCAACAGTGTATTAGCTAAGAAAAAAGAAAACAAACTTCTTATTTTTTTTTTAATCTTTTTTCAAAAAACACGTAGTTTCAACAAAACAAAGCAAAAAAGAGCACACAGAAACGAAAAAAAAAAAAAACCTGCAAATGACGGTAGCGAAACGAGATTAATGTTTTGCTATCACATCACAGAAAACAAATACTAATTAAAGCGTTATGGAATAGACGATAGAAACCAAAAAAAACAGTACAGCGATAAAAAACAAGGGGGAAAACAAAATGGAAACCAAAAATGACAAGACAGAAGAGTAACAACTGTAGAAGAAGACAGAAACTTGCTAGATTAAACAAAAACAAACTGAAACAGAAGAAAGCTTCCAAGTCACTTGGATGTTGGGAAATCAAACTTATGCATTTATCTTGTCGTTTTTAACTGCTCCAAAATACTGTCATTTAACGACGGTATACATTAACTAAACTGCATTTAAACGAGAAAATTGTTTTTGTAAAATTACTTAAATTATCATAAAATTTGTTATCATAAGTTTGATTTCAAATGGGGTTCACTGATTTGGCCTACACAAAACAACATTGAAACAGTACAACGAAAAACAGCTCAACTACTGACTATTTACAGTAAAAATGTTAGAATAATTTCAAAAAAAATTTCTACTAAAGCTTCCTCTCTTTTTTTTTTTACTTCTTTCTTCTTAATCTTAAGATTTTCTTTTTTTTGAAAAATAAAACACAGATTCAACAACCGACTAACCATAGTAAGTTGTGTTTACAAGTCTATTGACTTGAAAAAGAATGACAGGAAACAGAAGAGATAACGTCGAAATATGCCATTTTTTACTGTATTCTTATTAATATTTTTTCTATTATATACATTTTTTTGTGGAAGGAAGGATTCATTAAACGTTTTGAAAAAAAAACTATTTGAAACCAAAGATGGAACCAAAATCTTCAGTAGACTTTGTCAAATGCTATTTGCTATTTGTCAGATTGAAAAAAAATTTGGAAAAAAAAACACTGTTACAAACAGCCATTAGATTTAGAAGTTTTTGAGCGTGATATCTGTTTAAGGCATACAAATGCAATAACAAATAGACAAATCATTGATACAAACGACAATAAGGATAACAGGATTCTGAAGGATCCTTTAGATATACAGGTAGTGCTACTGCTTAGTAACGGTTTTCTTGTTTCATCGCTTGCAGCCAACAGTGACGACAATGACTTTTTAGCTGAAAAAATATTAGTGATAAAATTAGAAATTTAACGTTAAAATAATACTCATTAGTTGATAGATCAAAATTCATCTATTAACACACCAAATGATTACGTATCAAATTATACAGCTAACCAAAAAAAAAAAAAAAA